TTCGTGTTGATCTCACACCATTGTTAATAGACTTCCACCGACATCTGACAGGGTTAGTAAATATGCAAAGTTGGTTTTTTATCTTGGCACATTTCTCTCCAACATTTTCCATATACCGGCACGCCAATGGAAGAAAGTGGAAAGGGAGAGCACAGAGAAAGTTGGTGAGAAAGTAGGAGACAGAGAGAAAAGGCGAGGCGGGATTGAGAATCGCTTGCATGTTTAGCACTTGACGGCTTAATGGCGAACAATTTGGGTTAAGACAAGAGGGAACGCCCCTCACTGGACTCAACTGGCCGAGAGGACTGGCCAGGATTAAAGGATATACCGAGATATGACTGGGAGAGGGAGCTTAAATAGGGACATTTCACTTATTGCAAAAGGCCTTTAAGAAACCCTCCCAAGTTATGGAAATTTAAGCCACCAAAGCCACCAGTACATTTAAATTCAGTCGAGCAATCAATTTCCGCAATAGAATGCATTCGGGAGATGAAAATCTCATTTCCCGTAGAATTGTTTTAACTGCAAGTGTAATTCGAGGCATAAATAATTCGCCCAGAGCAGAGCCAAGCGGTTGAAGCGTCGACATAAGGACAGGACTCGGAGAAAACACGGACACTACCCACTAGACCAATAGCCACTGGCCAAAACAGCACAAAAACACGGTCGTGGGGAGGGGGTGAAGGGGTGAAGGGATTGAGCCTGAAGCTTAACAAACATGCAGCTGCCAAGAATTTATTGGCTGGACAATGACAACGACAAGGACCGAGCAGGACAATTATCATTGTAAACATTTTGCCATGACTTCAGCAAAATGAGGAATGGACTATTGAAGGGGGAAAAATGGTTTTAACTTGCCACTCAAGCTTCTTTTTAGATTCAAAGTACATACACATGGCATATATGTGTTTTGCAAAAGCTTTTTTTATCCGACTGTCAGTACAATTGAAAATCGAGTAGAAGCTTAGTAAATTAAACGATTCTTTAAAACTCATCTCATTCTACTTTAATATTCGATAATAGTGCATAAAAAACAAGAAAGAAAGCAAACTTCGGCAAGCCGAAGTTCATATACCCTTGCAGCTATCGCAAGAATTAAATATTTTTGAAAACATTAAAATTATGATTTACTTGCGTATATGTTTAAAAACATTGAAGCTATGACGATTTGCAGCATAATTATTTGATTGTTCTTTTATATATTTTTATTATTTGTATGGGAGCTATATGATATAGTCGTCTGATTTTGATGAAATTTAAACCATAATTCTGAAATATTTAACCATTGCTATATGTCGAAGAACTAAACAAAAATTAAAAAACAGCAAAGTTACAATTTTTTTCAATTATTTTTCCGATTGTTCCTATGGGAGCTATATGCTATAGTCGTCCGATTTTGATGAAATTTTAACCATAATTCTGAAATATTTAACCATTGCTTTATGTCGAAGAACAAAACAAAAAATTAAAAAACAGCAAAGTTATAATTTTTTTTCAATTATTTTTCCGATTGTTCCTATGGGAGCTATATGCTATAGTCGTCCGATTTTGATGAAATTTTAACCATAATTCTGAAATATTTAACCATTGATATATGTCGAAGAACTAAACAAAAAAATTAAAAAACAGCAAAGTTATAATTTTTTTCAATTATTTTCCGATTGTTCCTATGGGAGCTATATGCTATAGTCGTCCGATTTTGATGAAATTTTAACCATAATTCTGAAATATTTAACCATTGCTTTATGTCGAAGAACAAAACAAAAAATTAAAAAACAGCAAAGTTATAATTTTTTTCAATTATTTTTCCGATTGTTCCTATGGGAGCTATATGCTATAGTCGTCCGATTTTGATGAAATTTAAACCATAATTCTGAATTATTTAACCATTGCTTTATGTCGAAGAACTAAACAAAAAATTAAAAAACAGCAAAGTTATAATTTTTTTCAATCATTTTCCGATTGTTCCTATGGGAGCTATATGCTATAGTCGTCCGATCCGGCTCGTTCCGACTTATATACTACCTGCAATAGAAAGACAACTTTTGGGAAAGTTTCATGCAGATAGCTTTAAAACTGAGAGACTAGTTTGCATATAAACGGACGGACAGACGGACAGACGGACAGACGGACGGACAGACGGACGGACAGACGGACATGGCTAGATCGACTCTACTAGTGATGCTGATCAAGAATATATATACTTTATAGGGTCGGAAACGTCTCCTTCACTGCGTTGCAAACTTCTGACTGAAATTATAATACCCTCTGCAAGGGTATAAAAATAAATAAATGTATTTACATAATGCCTTTTAACTAAAACCCTGCACTGGTAATACAGGAAATACTTTATCTTTTAATTATTATTATTAATGATAACTATCAATAAAGTATAATTAATGACAAAATGTGTAAGCCGTAACAAAAAGGAACAAAGTAAATTTGGTAAAATTTTGTACTTATTTCCTTTCTTGGCCTCCCATCATAAATTCGCTTTATATATCTCTCGACATTTTCCAATATCTCCCTGATGAAGCCATTAGTGGCTCTCACTTTTCCGACTGCCGCGAGCAAAGTTTTCCCGGACAACAGTTTCGGTTAGTTTTCAAGTGTTAGGAACGAGGAAAATGCTTTGGCGTTGCAGCCCTCCAGTTGCGAAAGTGCATTAGACACAAAGTAATCGATACTCAATGGTGGAGAAGCGCCGCCGAAATGCTTTAAGCCTTCAATCAGAAGATGTGTTTGAGTTATCGCCTCGGTTTTTCCGGGTTTCGTGGGCGGTGGGATTCTGGAAATTTGTTTAGCCAACGTTAAGTTTACGTTTATAGGACTTATCAGTTTCCCCAAATTGAAATGTTTGCACTCCGTTGAATCTGCACGCGCTTCCTTCCGGTTTTGTTTACTCTCTGCTTGTGTGTGGGTGAGTATCTATGTGCTTATCGAATTTACTTATTTAGGTAGCTATGTTAATGGCATATTAGAAAGCGGCGGGGGCTGGTGTTCCTTCCCCAGGAGACCCTTCAACCCGTGGGCGTAGCGCGCTCTAGCCGTCGTAATGCCAGGTTAGGTAAACACTTGCGAAATGAATTAACTTTAAGCCGCAAAATTTGTGCTCTTGAGTGCGTGGGAGTGTGTGTGTGTGTGGGTTTCTTCGCTTCTGTGAGTGTGCATACATAAATGCTCGTAATTGTTTATTTACATAACTTGACATAAGATTAAAGACGCTTTTGATTAACGATGCGAGAGACAGCAGGGACTTAAAATTAAATTGCAAACATTAAATTGTTGACAAGCCAAGATGGAAGCCTTCAAAAGTGACGAACGTATGCTGCCAAATAACAAAAAGTTTAAATTAAATTATCGTCTCTGTTTATAATGGCTGTCTTGTAAGCCGTACATATTTGCATTTGGAAAGTATTTCATTTTTGATTAAACTATAAAATGTATATAAATAACGCAAACGTGTTTTATAATTTCTGTTGCAATGCTGATAAATAATTCTAGGACAAGAAAATATGTCAGGCTTAATAAGAATTAAAGCTTGATTAAAAACAAAAATAGACTTATTTTAAATTGTGTTATAAATAATCTAGTCGGCCAATTGTGCGTAATAGCAACACAAGTTGAAGGGAATAGAAAATGAAAACATTTAGAAAATAATCGTATTAAAATAATTGCCATTTGCATTTTGCAGATAAGGCAGCTTTTTAGCAACATTTTTTTTTTATTTCAATTAGTGTCAATTGCGCAAGAATAACAAAATTTGCTGCTTCATCCATATTCATTCAGCCTTAAGCATTTATGGGCGGATTTGCGCGAAAAATGCCAAAAAGTTGAGCGAGTGGGCGGAAGGGGCGGGGTGTTAAGGAAAAGGCGCCCTAAGCCATAATTTAATATATTGACACAAAGCTTTGTCGTAAGACGTGTCTTGGCACCATCATAATCCCCAATATTGTATATTGACAGCTGTCAAAGGAGCCACTTCTCCACTTTCCCACTTCCGTCCTGCGAAGTCGAAAAAAACCACAGAAAAACTGTGAGGAACAAGTAAGTTTTTGGCTTAATGCGCAACTATGCGGAAAATATTTGCGCTTAGTTTGAGTTCAGCATAGGAAAATGTAGTCACACACATGAACCCGCCGCTACGTGTGTTGGTTGAAGGACATGCAAGTGGGCCTGGGACCATAAGCCCAGGACTCAGGTTGGCACACAAATGAACTGGGCCACAAACGAAGAGGGCCCATAGGACGCTGACAACTTTAAGGCGCCGGAATAACTGTCGTGAACAGTATCCAACCGGCCGAATATTTCAATGAAGACAGTTTATAATAGATCTGCGTTGCTAGGTTTCGTTTAATTTGTTAAGTTAAACTAAGCAAATCAAAAGCGTAATTTTATACATTTATGTTTATGTCAAAGACTTAATACAGTTGATGTTAATTAACTTTGCGGTTACAGCTGCAAAAACAGCACTGTGTCTAAAAAAGGGAATAATCTATTTTTACAAAAGATTCAAGACTTAAACTAATTATACAAGAATTAAAAAAAAATCAAATTAAAGTTTACTTTTATAAGGTGTTTCTAACCAAAAGAATGGTCATTACAAATTTAACAAAAATTTTAGATTGCACGAAATATTATAGCACTTAAATGTACAATGTCAAACTAAAAACTATGTTGCTTATAAGTTGATTAAAAATAATTTAAATGATATTTCTATCCATCTATCTTTCGATTTCATATATCTTTCGATTTCAATATGTGGACACTACCATTTTGTGTTTGGTTTTTTATACCCTTGCTAGAGAGTATTCAACAATATTTTACTAAATATAAAAACGATTTAACGTAAAATAAACCTAAACCATTATTTTTTTCATAAATTCAAAAAACCAATAGACACAGAAACAAATTTTAAAACGCTCGCATTTTCTCTTATTTTTTGATTAAATTGCATAAAAACTCGTTACTACCCAAGTTCCCAATAACTTTGGACTATATTTTCTAGTTCTGCATCATTTATTTGTATCAACACTTAATTTTGTTAAATTATCCTATTGAATTTAATCAAATAGTTGTAGAAATCGTTTCTGGACTCTGATTGGGGACTTGTCCGCCGAGTTTTAGGGAATGTTGCGCCCTCGAAATCGTGCCAGGGATTTGGCCAACATTTGTGAAGCTTCCTGGGCGTTCTTCTTTTGTGTCAAATGTCGCCCTGAATTATGTGTTTGTTCTTCTTGGCTTCTATTTAAATCGTTGGTCGTGTTACTGCCATCCTGCGATTGAATCGCTTCACTTGGTAGCGAGTTGGATGAAGCATATGGATAGTCACTCTGATTCTGCGATTTAAAGAAAATATTTGGCACGGAAGCCAAAGGATTGATAAGTCGTTTCGGAGTAACACAGTCTACAGTTAATTCCTTCACTCGATCCGCATACCGTAGGGTGTTCAAAGTGTGCTCCACCGAATGCAAGCCCGGTGAAATCATGGCTATCATGCAGGTTTTGACCTTCTTGCCTCCAATAAAGGAGTCACGAAGTACTTGGGTGAGTTTGGAGCCCCTGAAGGGCAAGTGAGCCGACTGGCGACCCAGAGCGCGGATACATTCCTTCAAAACCAGCAAGGACTTGTTTATTTCCGATCCCTCCAGTCGGGTTAGCCGGTCCGCCGAACTATTATCCGCTCCGCGTTCGTTTCCCGCCAGATCTATAAGCGAGAATTTTCCGTGCAAACGCTCGTTCGTCGAAGATCTGAGCGCAATTTGGAAAACCGCATGAGATCGGGAGGACTTAGAATTGGCCGACGTCTGACCCGAGGTTCGAACGCTGTTACCCAGTTCAAGAAGCGCCAGAACATCGGCGGTCTTCTTCACAGGGTTTTCGGTCAGACCCACCACTTGCACCTGCTGGTTGCCATCTTCCAGGACCCGCAACTGTGGCTTACCCGGCCTCAGCAGATCGTACACCCGCGACCCGTAGATCTCGAAGAAACTGCAGGAGACGCTCAACTTTAGGCTTGCATAAGCTGGCGATGCTAGGTTGTCAAACACATCTTTGGTGGCCATCGCATAGATGCCGCCCAAGGAACTCTGCTGTCGTCCGACGAACTGGCCACCCATGGTGTGGGTCTTGCCACTTCCCGTTTGTCCATAGGCGAAACAGGTGGCCATTCCGCCCTCAAAAACATGCCGGATCAAAGGTCGTGCTGTGAATTCATAGACAGTGGCATTCGAGCAGTCTTCGTCGAAGACGTAATCGAAACGGAAGCTATGGTTGTCCAGGAACTTGACCAGGTTCACGTGCTTTCGCGGCTCATGTACCACCAGCATATCCTTGGAGGGTATGCTGACCACGTCCAGTTCCCGAGCCTCGAGCTCCTTGCGTCTCAGTGGTCTCTTCCTCACACAAACCACAATCTGGTGCTCCTTGGGGGGTCCTTCGGAAGAACGGCTCTTGACTGGCTGACTGTCCATCTGGAGACGTTGCAGGCGTATCATCCTGGCTATTTCCCAGTCGGGATTACCCGGATCTTGGCTCTTAACCTTCTCCCGCACTTGACGAGCCCGGCTTTGGAGTTCCCTTCTTTGTTCCCGCTGTCTTCGCAACCTCTCCACCTGGATCACCACGCCATCCTGTCGATTTGGTGGCACTATGGTGGGCGGCACTCGGGGCAGGAAACTGCCGGCCATCAAGCGCTGCTTCCTGGAACGTGGCGGTATAGAAGCCGTCTGATTGGCCAGTGCGCCGCTGCAGCGGGGCGCTTCAAAGATCTGTGGGTTCATCAGGACCACCAGCTCCAACGGCAGCTCCTTACCCCGCACTGTATGTCCTTCGAGCCACTCCACCGTCACCAGATTACTACTTCCGCCCTCCAGCTTGATGATCCCCGCCAAGTGAACCCTGCCATCCGAACGTCGGATAAACACCTTCTGGTTGATCGACAGCTGGTCCATGGCACAATCCCCCGAGTTTCGTTGCTCAACTCCGATCGAACTTCCAATTTCCACAATCAATTTGCTCTAGTTACTGCAAATTTTCTCTTAACAAATGTGCATAATATTTAAGCCGATTCCATAAAATCCTGTTTTAATGTTGTGTTCTACCTGATAAAAGTTTTAAAAAGAACTAAAGTGACAAGCAATGCAATGCGTATTGTAACATTTTTCGGGGACTTGAGTGAATTTAAAAAATTAGCTAAAGCATATAGTTACATATGAATTATATATATAGTGTTCTGAATTAATAATAAAAAATATTCGTGGAACTTGGGAAAATATTTAAAAAGCAGAAGAAAAATCCTTGAACAAATAACAATTCAAATATAACTATTTCAGTGAGATATGAATATATGACATGAATGAAGCCATGCATAAAGTATACATATAATTTCAAATTCTGGATCCTCTACTTTAGGATTCTCTACAACACCCAGTGATATCTATTCAAGCGAGGATTGTTTTAGCTATTTGTTCAATTTGAGGGCAAACAACATGCAGCAACAATAACCGAATCAACAAACAACACCGTTCCGAGAGCCCTCTCGTCAGGCGTCCTACATGTCCTGTGTATTTTCTATTTGCCAAGTGGGTGGTCATGAAATGAAGCATTCTTTTAGTGGAAAGAGATGGGCAATCGAGTACAGAAAGAGATGGATAGAGGGAGAAACAAGTTGCAGATACGTTTGCATAAGCCGAGACGTGTGTAACGTACCAAATTGTTATTTATTTTTTGAAGTGCTTGCGCTACTGCCTCTGTGAAAAGGTGTATCTGTGGATCCTGTGCCTGCGTATCTGTGTTTTTGCCTGCAAGAGTCTGGGTGTCGGGATGCATAGATACATTGCTAAAAGATACGTGCAACTTGTTTGGGTCCTTCACCGACGTCTTGTTTGCTATTTGACGTCACATTTTACCAAATTTACCGTGTAATTATCGGCAAAGGCGAGCAGCAACCCGAAACGCAGTCGCTTTCAACCCACAGCACTCTGCAAAATGCAACAAGAAATGGTCCAATGAGCCAGGCGCTCCTGGTCCCAAACTGATATGCAAATTTCCATAGCTTTTTCTGTTTGCCCGGGACCTCATGCATATTTGTTTAGCCGCAGTCAGTCCATGCCGGACAGTTTGATTTCGTTTCGGGGATTCCCATTTCATTTTTAGCAAACTATTTTGCCCCTGCTCGCAGGCAACACGTAAGCTCTATATTTGCTGAATGCTTGCCTAAACTGAAAATCCAAAATGAACTAATAAAGCAATTGAATTGGAAAACATTTGTCAGGTTTTACAAAAAAAAAAAATTAATTCCAAATAAATTGAATAGCCATTGAACTGTATGTGCATAATGTAACATGCAATATTTTTTTGGCATCTCATAAACAAATGTATGCATATTTAATGGAGAAAGTGATTTCATGGGCATAATCTTTCGAAATATTTTTATCAATTATTTCTCGTTCCTTTTATCTGCTTTTCTGATAATATTTAACTATATTAATAAATAATTTACATATTGTTTCACACGTGCACACAATTTAAAAACATATCACAGAATGCAATCCAACACAATAAATGTCATCCGGCACGGATTAAATGTTGTTTGCTAATATAATCAATTTGGACAATTTCGACAGTTGAACTAATCCGTTTACGTAATCCGGATGCAATCAAGCCGCCGCATCACACTTCTGCCTGCTGATAACCACATTTGTCGCTTTGATTTAATTATGCCTGAAAAAAAGGCACAAAATAGCAAAGCCGAAAACTAAGTGAATTGCATAAAACATTAATTAAATAATTTCAAAATTGACTTTTGTGGTGTTTTACTAAATTTTGGTGTAGTGATTCGAGATTTTCAACATATCTCTTTGACTCGAGCTCCAGGTTCGTCCTTACAAAAATTGTAGTAAGTCGGCCCGAATCTTCGTGCTAAAGGATTTGATTTGTTACTTAAAAATTACTCGCTGGTTAAACTATACTTTTTACCATTGGTATGCAGATTTTGCTTAACGATTGAGATTATTCCAGATTTTTTCCAGAAATCCTTTTGGCTTCACAGTGGCTATTGGCCTTTTGTCCTCCCAGAAATAGTAATAAATATCGGCCATCATGCTCCAGAATCCATATGTCTTGCCATTACCTTCGTTGGCTGCAACTGCCAGAGACGGTTCTTTTTTCTTGAGTACTGTCCAGACCATTAGAAATATTATTGGAAGTATTGCAAGCACAAAAAGTAGACGTCGTTGCATTTTTAACTTTTTATTTTTTTGGTCGAGATCAGACGAGTTGTTGGTCATTTTTTTTAGAAAATTTATTGAAATTTTTTAGAGCTCTGACTTTCGGATATTGATGTTTTCCTTTTGGCTCGAGTTCGTTAACTGCCTAAAAACGTGTTGACATATAGGGCTCTGCTTGAACAGTTCAGTGAACCCCTGGCTGGGGATCTCAACAAGTCCTCCAGCGGTTGCTCCCATTTCCTCAATTCGGATTGGAAAGCACTTCATCCTCAATACAATGCTGAGAAGTAAAACTACCGGACACAGAGGAACACACATAAATTTATAGTTGAGCCATGGAAAACAATGAGTTGGAAAAGCGGGCGGCTTTCTTTTCCATTCATTCGGATCCGGATCCCCGACTGAAGTGATTTCCGTTGTTTTTTGTTATGCTCGGAGCGTTGGTGCATTCAATGGAGTGCACTCTCCGCAAGGGAATACTTGAACTGCAGCAAGAAAAGACGCACAATACAATTGTTGAGGGGCTTTGTTTGAACATCGAGCGGAGCGTCCTGCCGCATTTGCCGGCGAATACTTTATACATGTACTTATGTATATCCGAGACAAAAGCCCAGTCGCAGCATGTGCTCCACTTTCCCGGCTAAACGATAAGAAAGCAAATTGTTTGGCTATATTTGGGATGCGAATTTGTTTTATTTAAATCTTAATAAACATTGAAAGCAGCGCCTCAGAGCTGGAATGTATGCATCGGGTGGAAGCTGGGGGCAAATAATAAATTATTATAATAAATTTAATCGGCAAGGTCTTCCATCGAGATCCTCCTTACATGTCTTCGCGTGCTTTAATCAGAGTTTCCCCCAGGCGGTGCAGCGGATAGTCCCCAGTGCAGATCCTGTACACACATGTGAAAAGGGGAAATCTGTAAAAAACGGTAAGATTATTTTAAGGTTTAAATTAACTGATTTTGTGTATGTTATTTACTTATCCTCCAAACCCTTCTTCTTCAGCATGTGATGCACTAGTTCAGCTGTCACGGGACCCAGAGGCTCATGTCCTGGTATAAGGATGTGCTCCAGTTCACTCAGTGGCTTACCTGTCTTCACAAAGGCCTCAGCCAACTTGCGATTTCGATTGGCTGCAGAGAAACATTTTTTAAATTTTAAAATATTATCCTGAGGTCAAATATCTTGGAGCTTTGGTAAAATGTACAAGAATTAAAATACCATAGCAACTGGTGACCAAATCGGATATACCGCAGGACTCAAAGAAAGTTCCCATGCGGCAACCCGGGTAAAAAACATCCACAAATTGGAGCATTTCCAGAAAACCCCTCCGAATGATTCCTCCCTTGGTGTTTTCATTCAGCTCCATTCCATCTGAACAGCCAGCCGCAAAGGCAATTATGTTCTGTAAAAATGAAACTGAGTCTGTCAATTGAACATTCCTATAGTGGATGGTGGCTACCCTCAACGTGGAACAAATCTCCACACAGTCTGCATCCTCGGTGACAACCACTCGAAATGTGGGCGACTTGAAGATGTCGTGCAGCACTCGATAATACTTCTGATCTCGACAGCCAACTGTTCCCTCGGCAAAGTGATCATGAGCTATTTCGTGGGCCAAATTACAGCCCACTAGGACTGAACATGGAATCTAAAAAGTAAAGGAAATATAATAAGATGTAATATAATCATTTACCTAAACCAAATGCCGGAAATATAGATGGAGAATTTTATAAGAAATGAAGGCTAGTATTTTGATCTCAATTAAAAGATTAAAAAATGTTCTGTTTTTTACTCTTTAACATCAAGTACTTTTAAAAGTACAACCTTTAGCTGTCGCATAATTATTTGGGAAATCAGGACGAACTGCCCATCGTCGCCGCGCTCAAATCCCTTGATCAGCGAAACGGCATGGGCCGTGGGCTTAACTTTGCCCAAGAGTGTCTTGCAGCAGCTGCTCACAAAAGTAGGCGGAATGGCAAATATTATTATATCGGCATCCCTTGCCGTTGCCACAATATCATCCACGGCCACCTGGCAAAGAAAACGCACCACACAAATTATGACATATCGTTTTTCAATCAAAGTACACCCACAATGTTTGGTGGCAGTTCAAAGTTCGGCATATACTTGACATTTATGTGGGTGGTGTTGATGATTTCGGTGAGCTTACGACCATCAACTATCTCCTCGTACACATACATGGGCACCTTTTCATCAAGGGTTTGCGAATTTATCACATTCCTGCCCACATTGCGAGCTATGGTCGTTGCCCAGTTGCCCGATCCTATAATACAAATCACTATCTTCTCCATCTCGTGTTTCTAAATGTTATATGTTATTTTAAATTAAATGTTCTTTGTATGTTGTTTAGTTGGAGTGACTTTAAAGTCTAAGATATTATATTCACAACCAATAAATTCCATATTGAAATTTTAATCAATAAACAAATCATACATTTCAATGATAAAAATTAAATATTTTATTTCTAAGTTATTTAATTTGGCCTATGGCTTTTCGAATGAATTTCAATTTTCATGGTTTAGTAGTTAACTATATATTATTTAATTATATTCTGATTATAATCAAAAGCACATTTTCATAAATTGCTCCAATCAAAAGTTATTTAATATTAGGTACCTTTTGTTGTCTGGCCAAGCATCATAAATCGTATCTAATCAAAGCGTTAATAATTGCAATGCTATAATATTGTGATAGCTCATGCACACTTTGGAAAATCATATCAGGCTAATTTACAACGTTGAGGGAACCACCAATTAAACAAGAGTATAAACTTGGTTGTGAGTCTTAAAAATTAATGGGCAAATAAATAAAACCATACGCGAGCCCAAATATTCAATCGCGTATTAATATATATGCATATTTACATGCATATAAGTTCCGTGCACACATATTGATTGAGTGCTGGGCAAACAATTCATCAGTGAATCAGACGGGATAAAAATTACGTATACGTCACGTTCGCCAAACTGGCAGGGCAAATAATTAACTGTGGCAACTGCTTTCACCTCGAATTTTCAGCAGGGCTGCATATGGATTCAGTCATGTTTACCCGAAAAATGTATATACATACATGTCATATAAAGCTGATGCTGGAAAAATTTCATAATTCTTGTATTTATTTTTTAATTGCGCTGGCGTAAAAGAGTTCTCCGAAAAAGTCATGGGCAAAAGGAGAAGTGGCGGCGGTAATTTCAATAAAATATAAAATTGCCAGCGTTGAAATGCAAGGGGCAGAAGTCAAAGTGAAAGTCCCATCGAAATCAATGTGCAAGAAAGTAAATACTTTGAAATTGTGCGACGCGCAGTTGGCCAGCCCATCTCATCCAATTCCGACCAAGCCGACCAGAATCCAGAATCCGACTGCAGCCCAACCGCCCAGCGCCATCCACTCGACTATGAAATCAAAATGGATGATGGGCGAAATGAAAATGGAATTTTTAATGAGTTGCTGCCGAGGCAAAGGCCAAACGAGCTGCTGTGCTTGGCCGTACAATGGTACGGAGACAAAACGTTGGAAATGAGGCCGGCCGGGTTGGAATTGGAATTGGGATTGGGGTTGGGGTTTGCAATGGAGCGGACCAAGGCCGCTGCAGGCAAGTGAACGGCTTACTTCAGGTCCAACAAATCGCTGGCCAACACTTTAAAAGGCCGTGAAATACAAGACAACAAGAAAGAAAGTAAATTTCGGCAAGCCGAAGTTTATATACCCTTGCAGCTTTTGCAAAGTTAAATATTCTTGAAAACATTAAAATTATGAGTGACTTGCGTGTATGTTTACATTGAAGCTATGATGATTTGCAGCTCAATTATTCGATAGTTCCTATGCCAGCTATATGATATCGTTTTCCGATTTTAATAAAATTAAAAGCGTAGTTGTGAACTGTCAAATTATTAATTAATCAAAAAGAATTTCTAAAAAAAACAAGAAAGAAAGCAAACTTCGGCAAGCCGAAGTTCATATACCCTTGCAGCTATTGCAAGAATTAAACATTTTTGAAAACATTAAAATTATGATTTACTTTCGTATATGTTTAAAAACATTGAAGCTATGATGATTTGCAGCTCAATTATTTGATAGTTATTTTATATATTTTTATTATTTCTAAGGGAGCTATATGATATAGACGTCCGATTTTGATAAAATTTAAAGCATAATTCTGAAATATTTAACCATTGCTATATGTCGAAGAACTAAACAAAAAATTAAAAAACAGAAAAGTTATAATTTTTTTCATTTATTTTTCCGATTGTTCCTATGAGAGCTATATGATATAGTCGTCCGACTTTGATGAAATTTAAACCGTAAATCGGAAATATTTAACCATTACTAAATGTCGAAGAACTAAACAAAAAAATAAAAACCAGCAAAGTTATAATTTTTTTTCATTTATTTTTCCGATTGTTCCTATGGGAGCTATATTATATAGTCGTCCGACTTTGATGAAATTTAAACTGTAAATCGGAAATATGTAACTATTACTAAATGTCGAAGAACTAAACAAAAAATTGAAAAACAGCAAAGTTATAATTTTTTTCATTTATTTTTCCGATTGTTCCTATGGGAGCTATATGCTATAGTCGTCCGATTTTGATGAAATTTAAACCGTAAATCGGAAATGTTTAACCATTACTAAATGTCGAAGAACTAAACAAAAAATTAAAAAACAGCAAAGTTATAATTTTTATACCCTTGCAGAGGGTATTATAATTTCAGTCAGAAGTTTGCAACGCAGTGAAGGAGACATCTCCGACCCTATAAAGTATATATATTCTTGATCAGCATCACTAGGCGAGTCGATCTAGCCATGTCCGTCTGTCCGTCTGTCCGTCCGTCTGTCCGTCTGTCCGTCCGTTTATATGCAAACTAGTCTCTCAGTTTTAAAGCTATCTGCATGAAACTTTCCCAAAAGTTGTCTTTCTATTGCAGGTAGTATATAAGTCGGAACGAGCCGGATCGGACGACTATAGCATATAGCTCCCATAGGAACAATCGGAAAAATAAATGAAAAAAAATTATAACTTTGCTGTTTTTTAATTTTTTGTTTAGTTCTTCGACATTTAGTAATGGTTACATATTTCCGATTTACGGTTTAAATTTCATCAAAGTCGGACGACTATATCATATAGCTCCCATAGGAACAATCGGAAAAATAAATGAAAAAAATTATAACTTTTCTGTTTTTTAATTTTTTGTTTAGTTCTTCGACATATAGCAATGGTTAAATATTTCAGAATTATGGTTTAAATTTTATCAAAATCGGACGTCTATATCATATAGCTCCCTTAGAAATAATAAAAATATATAAAATAACTATCAAATAATTGAGCTGCAAATCATCATAGCTTCAATGTTTTTAAACATATACGAAAGTAAATCATAATTTTAATGTTTTCAAAAATGTTTAATTCTTGCAATAGCTGCAAGGGTATATGAACTTCGGCTTGCCGAAGTTTGCTTTCTTTCTTGTTTTTCATTTATTTTTCCGATTGTTCCTATGGGAGCTATATGCTATAGTCGTCCGATCCGGCTCGTTCCGACTTATATACTACCTGCAATAGAAAGACAACTTTTGGGAAAGTTTCATGCAGATAGCTTTAAAACTGAGAGACTAGTTTGCATATAAACGGACGGACAGACGGACAGACGGACAGACTGACAGACGGACAGACTGACAGACGGACGGACAGACGGACATGGCTAGATCGACTCGCCTAGTGATGCTGATCAAGAATATATATACTTTATAGGGTCGGAGATGTCTCCTTCACTGCGTTGCAAACTTCTGACTGAAATTATAATACCCTCTGCAAGGGTATAATTACAAAATAAAAAAGTTAAATTTTTTTAAGTTTTTATATTTTCTATGGGAGCTTTATGTTATGGTCGTCCGATTTTGATGAAATTTAAACCGTAATTCTGAAATATTTAACCATTACTTTATCTCGAAGAACTAAAAAAGAAAATGAAAAACAGCAAAGTTATAATTTTTTTTTATTTATTTTTTCGATTGTTCCTATGGGAGCTATATGCTATAGTAGTCCGATCCGGCTCGTTCCGACTTATGTACTACATGCAATAGAAAGACAAATTTTGGGAAGCTGCATGCAGATAGATTTAAAACTGAGAGACAAGTTTGCATCCCATGAGTAGAGCACCTTAAAGTTTCTTTATTTACACCTTTAATGTATATGTTATAAGAATGCTTTAACTGCAACTCACAAACAATAAAATAGATTAAATCAAATAGCTCAAAACTATTAAATTTCATGTTTCATGACCAACAAAATTGTTTCCGTTCAAGTCAACACATTAGTTAAATATCCTTGCCAAACGTAATTTAAACTCATGAAATTAAAGCTCTTATACTTCGATTACTTTGATTAACGTCAGTAATGAGCTTATTTCTTAAACAATAACTTCTGCAAAAAACATATAAATCCAGTCTCAGCTTGGCTTGTTGGAAACCTCCAGGTAACCAAACGAAACACTTTAAATGTATCCTGAACATAATTCGTTTTTTATTCCGTCTTGGGACGGTATAAATTATGCGCTCACATGTCTTCTAGCCCCTCGTTCAACATTAATTTCAGTTTTTATTATTTTATTCTCTCTGCCTTCTGTTTCCTTTCACCTACAACCATAAAGTAAAGTTAACTTGGGCAGTTGTCTGAAATCATCGCAGGGATACGCACATAAAGTTTTAGCACGATTTTTTATGCGTTGCACCTTAGACATCTGCCCTCGCTTCCTTTTACTTTGTGGTAGTTACTCATACGATTTTGTGACTACAAAGTTGAATCGTAAATAAAATTATTCCATGTTTTTGTTAGCTGCATCGTGTTTTCGAGAGTCTGTTTGGAAGTTGCGGGATCTGAGAGGACGAATGTGTGGGAATAGTAAGTAAACTTTCACTTTCTCTGTGCTCTAACTTTGAGCGAAGTTTGCACACATGAGATAAACTAATTAGACCGATGTGTGCTTAATTTTTGTGGTGGTAGGTTGTATATTTCAAACCAATCGATGCGCGTATGAAAAGTGGATGGAATGGAATTAAGGGAAAGCTTTAAGATGCTCAGTAGTGATATGGTTTTTAAAGTAAATACATTTTTCGGAACATTTGGAGACAATTGGCACATCTCAATAACTTTTTTTTTGTATTGTATTTTAAAATGATAGTTTCAATTTAATCCTTTGTCGTTATGTTTTGAAAAAGGCTATATTAAAGGCCTCAAATTCGTGCTTAAAATTGTCAAAAATTGTTTTAAATGTATTTTTTGCTTGAATGAAATAAAAACTCCCTGCTGCGGCACTCAACTCTGCTTTCATCTTAGCCATTTTCGCTGGCATTAGA